TGCGCACAAAACAAATTACCTACGCAGTGAAAACCGTGGCTAAATAATCTATGTAAAAGTCGGTTAGGAATCGATAGGATGAAAACATGGAGCACCCTAACTCTTCGCCTCTCCACCCAGGTGGCGATTGCGAACGACTCAGGCTACAAGAAAAACTATAAATTTGCAAACACCACGCTTTGCATAACTTTTCGACAGACAGGTGATAACATCGAAAATTCGCTTGTATTATCACAAAATCATTCCAACTTGTTTTCTTCGTTCATATGCTAATGGGACTTGAACTTACCCCTAAATGACTGCAATAGACAGCTCGTAAATTGTCGAACTATTCATGAGGTTATCATGTGATAGAATTTTGAAAATGGAAGATTACGTAATTATAACACCATTCATGTGAAGTTGTAACCAGTGTTTGTTCAAACATGTAATTTGGAGAGAACACATGTGTGTGTTAGTTTGGACATGAACGAGCACAGAGCTCCAGGAAGGCATTGCAGATTGCTCCTATAATTGCAAAATCATCGTTGTTTGGGGTGGTGCAATATCATTACAAAGATAAGCAAATCTTATTAACCATATAAATGTCAAAGCTTGAATTTAAGGGTAAACATACATGCGAAAAGCAGAATTTTGAACCTTTTGGCAAAGCTTTACACACTCACGCAGTTGCTACAAATAATGGTGGGTAACATATACCGAAATGAGAAATACTGAGCATTCATCATGCACTAGGATGATGCGCTTCAACGAACTCTAGTCAGTTTGATGTCATTCAAAACATCTGAAAATATTTATTAATTGCAACCGAATTTGTTCTTGCCTTTCTCCCCAACAGTTTATTAAGCATNAATTTATTAAGCATAAACATATACAACATACGAGAAGCTGGAAACAAAGGTAAAATTACTCAGCAGAGTGTATGCCTGAAAAAAGCTATCAGGTTGGGTGAAGCCTTCTATTCTTATAGGGATGTTGGTAACCTCAAACAATATTTTGTCAGGTTGTAACGGTGTTGCTTGTAACCCCTTATATAGTTAACTAAAACGATGGAAGTTGAGATAATATTAGTCAGCATCTGTTATTAATCCACATTGCTGAATTACTGTCTTAGAATTTGAAACTTATGACAGTCACTCTCTTTCTTCACAGCGACACGTGCCTGCGATTCCTGACCAGGGATATTATCGTTATGCTAACACCACTCAGCTTGGTAACCTCTAAACAACGGGACACATGTTGATTTAAACTTGCCAGTTTGTCTACTTCCGATGAAGGTTAACCCCTAGTTGCAGACATTGAAGCCCTCTGTGCAACTCGCTTTCCCATAACTGAGCATTTTTCGGTACGTTTGATTCGTAAACTCATCATCATAATAATCCAAAATGCTCATACAAAACCCATACAGTGAGCCTATATGAGTTTGTTAAATATATAACAATATTTTAAAAGTTTGAAAGGATGATCTTTTGTGATCAGTTTTAGTTCGTTAATCAAAAGCGACGCAAATATTTATTATCTACTAGGCTTGCGTCAATATAGTTGAAAATGGTTGACGATGATGTCCGGTGTAGATATCAACCGAGTTCTCGCAGGATACTTTGTTTCACAAACTAATCACTTGTAGGGGGTTAGTAACCCAATGTGTCACCTTTGCTTTGATATACCGAGCACCATTATGATGAGTAAACTTGCAAGCAGAAGGCGCAACTATCAATCAAGAATCAGCAAATACACATCAGAATACACAAATCTCCTCAAAATCAAAAGCCGCGGAGAATATTTCAGTAAAAAAACACGTGCATAGTTATTATTTTTTGCTTAAGTGAACCTCCTGAATTGGTGCAAATTTCGCACGTTCAGATGCGCTTTCGGCATCTGAAACAAGATGTAAAATACTGAAGATGTTAGCACCATTGTTCTTGATATTGAGTCTTTCAACGGCATTTCCTGTTTTTCTTTCGATTTTATAAATTTCCTTTAGACTTGTTTTTGTAGGCATACTTCAAGCCAAAAGCACTGCATGTTAATCGCTGAGATTACCCATAAAACATTTCGGTTAATGCTATT